GGGCGGAGCGGGACGGGAGGGGTGGGGCAAAGGGCAGGAGGCGGAGCGGGATGGGAGGCGGGGCAAGGGGCAGAAGGCGGAGCGGGACGGGAGGCGGGGCAAGGGGCAGGGGGCAGAGTGGGACTTGAGGGGTAGGGGTAAGGGGCAGGGAGTAGCCAGGCGAGGCGAGGCGAGGCGAGGCGGGGGCGGGGCAGTGGGCGGCGGGGTAGGGACACGCCTGCGGCAGGTTCAGGCTCAGCGTTGCCTTGAGCAGGGGGACGTGATTCTGCTTGTTGGTTTCAGATACTGAGTGAAATGTGGTCTCAGCGGTGAGCACAGTAAATGACGTTGAGAATGTGAACATTCTTTGAAATAATACAGAGAAATTCAAAGATTTGTAGACAGAAATGCTGTGTGGAGTTGAGTGCCCTGTCCCAATCCAACACCCCCTAAGTGTCCTGATAGCATCCGTCACGGACCCTCTTTCATTAAGGCCTGAGAAGTGTGTTTGTGGGGACCCACCAGCATTCACAGAAAGTACTGTATGACTTCTCTGTAAGGAGGGGGGCTGTGTGTGGGAAGAGGAGTCAATGAGGCTTTCTTGCGTGAAGGCCAGCAGGTGCCATATTGTTCCGAGTGACCGTGTTCAAGCTGGCAAGTGCCGCCTTATCACTGTAAGGTAAGTAATCATTTTAGTGTTGACTGGAGCCACTGTTCTGGTCCTGTATAAGGTCCAAAACTTTGTGCGTGGAGGAAGCTTATTACACCAACTCACCTGCACCCGCCAGCTGAATGAAGGGGGATTTCCCTATGCCGGCTAACTGGCCACCACAAGCTGAGTAAAGGCTATGTCACAGCTGCCTTCAGCTCCTTGGTTTTTCTTTGGTGTCTGAATCCGGTGCGAACCTCCTTGGCCTCAACCCCAGCACTACACTATGGTGAAAAGTTTTCCCTATTTCAATAGAGACATCAAGATCTTGAGGTTGGTAAAGGCTAAACAAAATTTTGTAGCAATTAACAGCTGAACACAGGTGCATAGTTACAACAGGAGAAGGTCCTGTGCAATCCCAGTGGCTTGGCCCACAGAATTCTCTGGTGCTGGATAGTGAACCCACAGCCTACTGGCCAAAAATGATGTTCAAAAACCTAAGCAGGTCACACAGATACCAGGAAAACTGGAAGACGCTGTGAAAGCTGGCACAGCCACACCAGGACACACCTCGGAACGCAGCCTGGCTTAGGACCAAGGCAGGGGCCACCGGTGTGGGCCCCACAATAAATAGCAGACACCCCTGATGGGAGCCACCAAGACATGGCCACACACAGACATGAAGACTCCCATGATGAAGAACTCTGCAATAACGTCGTGAAGGTGTTTCCAGAATCTCTGAGGCTCTCATTGACCGGGATAACAACACACCACCGCAGCAAGGAAATGATGAGGCCTTTTGGAATTCATCTGGGGATAGCTCCAAACACAAATTTCTGAGGTCTCGGGAAACCCCTGTGGTCTGTGGGACAAAGTGTGTGTTATGGGAACGAGCCACCCTGCAGTCACTGTCCCAGGGAACAGCTGGTTCCTCTGCCTTCTGTGGTGACGTGGGCACTGGTTCCCTAATCAGGAAATAAACGGTTATTCTGTCAGGAAGGGCCAGGAGCTGTGTGAAGGCGAGTCCTCCACCAAGAGCTTTACAAGAAGCAGTAGTGCATTCTTACCTCCTCTTGCCTTAAGGTGACCTTTGGCACATGTAGTAGACGGGTCTCTGAGGGCACACACTCGGAGTGTGACCCCCTGGACTGCAGCTGCAGCCAGATGCATCGTCTTTCCTGGAGCACATCGGGTAGCCAGTTGCCCAGGTGGCCCGCGTGTCTCTCTTTACTTGAGTAGAGGGCACGTGACGCAGTCTGTTCTGCCCAGCAGCAGCAGTAAGGATTGTCTTTTCTCACGGTTCGGTTGACCTTGAGTCACCTCGGCACTGTGCAGGGCGGCATGCTCCTGATGAGACCTGCAGAGAGCGCGTCGTCCCGGCCCTGATGCCTGGTAAGGTGCATCAGGCCGGGGTGTGGGAGAGGAGCCCGCAGGCCCCGCCCAGCTCGGCCGCGCGGGGCGCAGCGCTGGAGCCAGCGGGGACCCTGCACCGGGGACCGAGCGGAGTGCTTCGCGCCTGCAGGACTGAGGGGCCCCTCGTATCTTGGTGGGCTGCTTTAGACTTTGTCCCTGCATTCAGGGGTTGATCCAAATGCTTCTAGCTCCGAGGTCCCTCCAGCTGCCCGGCTGCAGTGAGATTAGTTCTTCCACCCTCCCCCTCGGACCTCCGGAGGTGACCCTGTGGGCTGTGTGGCAATCAGGATTCCGACTTGAGGGAAAGCGGCGCCCTCTTCGGAACTAACCCTCCTTTGACTACTGCCGGCGCCCTGAGATGAAG